CTTCATCAATTGATACGTTTTAGCAGTCCATCTTGCAGCTCAGAATCTCTTCTTTCCAACCACATATTAATTGGGCCAATACATGTTGGGAGGAGGAAGTTAAGGCCGAAACAAATTGCTAACTCAGTCTGCTCGTTTTTGCACCATTTTGCATCTTTTCCTATCCAAAGCCACCATTGCTACCTAAGGCCCAATGAACTGAATGATAAACAGAAAAGGGATTAAAAGCACAAGTTTAACTCAATAACATAACCAAATCATAAGCTAGAGGGGTGCAAACTGATATACAATTATGAACTGATCAAATACCCCCAGACATAGATTTTGCTAGTCCTCGAGCAAAACAACATAAAACAAAGTTAAAAACAAAACAAGAAGTTAACTAAACCACTTCCGCAGGTAACTCGATTGCATTGAGCATTTGCAACAAGCCTTTAAACCTCTAGGCATCCCTAGTAGGAGGAGTTGTGTCTCCTGAGGGTTTAACAGAAACGTTACCCACAAACGCTTTACTAACTCTACAAAACAAAGTGGTTAGTAAAACTTGAAATCAACTAATGAAAACGAAAGAAAACTTTGGTCATACCTCCAACACCATATAGTTGCCAAGATAGGTGATCAATCAGTGTGTAATGTGGAAGCTATAACTCAAAGGCACACGGTTTCAAAGCAAGCACACTCAAGCCTTGAAGAAAGAACATGCTTCAACTCTAATTCTCACATATAGCACTCAATCACTCAGAACCTATGGTTATATTCTCTCAAACAAGCTTAAGTGAGTATATGAAATAGAAGCACAATATTTGGTTAGATCTCAAGAAGGGAATCAAATACTAAGAGTAGAGATACACACATACACTACGAACAAAAGGGCCTTTAGCGACATGCAAAGTCCGTCACAAAAAAACAAAAAAGCGTCGTAAATAGAGATTAGCGATGGCAATGCGACGTTTTTTGTCACGTCGCAATAAAAGGCGTCGCAAATGATCGTCGCAAATGATTTGAGCCCTTTTTACGACACTTAGGGCCCGTCGTAATAACATATTGCGTCGCATTTGCGATGGTTAAAAATTGTCACAATAAACTGAGCGTAAAATTTAAGATGTGATTTTACAACACTAGTTCGACACGAGCTCGTGTAGCAACTAAAGTAATTGCAACGGTGCCGTTCCGTTGCTAATTCTTACACGACAAAGGAAATGCCTTTTTGGCGACAATATATACGACGGTGGCATGCGTCGTTAAAAAAGATTTAGTGATTGTATGTAGTGTCGCAATAATTATGTGACGCAATTTTAATAAATTCAGTTTTTTGAATTATTTTTGAATTTATTATTTTGCACAGCTTGCTTCAACGCAAAAAATTTAATTTGCAACACCAATGACACTCTTAATTGACATATAAACTGTGATTTTTAATTAGAATTGACTATAAAAACTTATAAAATGGTGTTATATCTTGATCAAAACAAAAATAACTTCATTCATGTACTTGAAAGTATCATCTTTTGCATTAACACAAAAAAATTTAATAATTATAGAATCTCAATCTCAAGTCATATGTAAACAATACCATCTCTAGATATAAAACAAAATATTAGGATTCAAAAGTACTAAAATTAATAGAGTTCAAAGTTGAAGGAGTCATCATTATCTTGTATTTCATCTTCACCCCTAACCTAAAAATAGTGACAAATACATAAATAAATGAATGGAAAAAAAATACATTTTAATTTTTTTCCGAAGATAATTATCTAACCTTTTAATGAAAACAATTTCTTTTATGCCTCCAAGTCTAAATTAGGCTGCAGCTCGCTATTAACACTAAGTCTTCGTTGATGCATACTTGAGGCATCTGGAATCTATTGAGGATATAGGAAATATAAAACATTTCAAAGTTACAATAAAAACTAAGATCACTTCAATTTAAACAGTATTTATTCTTTAATAAGAGAAAGGCATTAAATATAATGTACCTGGCCGCTTCCGGTTTCTTCTGGGGTGGTTTGGAAACCAACATGAGTCATTACTTGACTGAGTTGTGAGCTAACTTCATTTAACTTGGATTGGAGATCATCTATTTTTGACTGATATTGTTTCTATAGCTCCTTTCTCATCCTATTCTCATTATTGTCAGAATTTGATTTTTGACCAAACACTTGAGATGGAGTTACACCAGCCCCATACATGCGAACACGCCCATGTGCATCAATTCCCATCACTTTAGTAAATATTTCCTCTCTAAATGACTCATCTTGTTCATCTTCTACCCTTTCTTCCAAACATTGGTTGAATTGATTCTACAAAATCACACTTGCAGAATTGGTTCATTTGGCTAAAAGATAAAATTTCAAAACAACTCTATATTCAAACTTACAATAATATCAGCACTGTCCTCATCAAAAACTTCATCTTCATCATTTTTCTTCTTCTTTTTTCGAGTTTTGATAAACATGCTCAGACGATCAGTCTTCTCTCCTTTCTCTTTCATCTATGTAAGAAAAAAAATTTGATCTCGTTAAATATATATCTAAAAAGAAGACCAATGAACAATGACCAATTTGTTACATACAGCCATAGTACAAATTCTAAATCTTCTGTTAGCATTATTTGCTAGCCATTCAAGATATATGCCTGAACAAAAAGGATTAGCTAATAACAATACCTATATGGTCAATGACTATAGAAAGAATCATTAGCACATAACAAAAAAAATTAATACAACAACATAAATCAATAGAAAGCCAACCACATTTATAATCAATCTAGTGTTCTTACCACATTTCTCAACTGAGCAAAAGATGTGCGACCAGTCCTATGTGGAGCACCTCCTTGTGCACGATTGACCTTATTCATCTCAGAACATTCCTACAAGATGGTTTTATCAATGATAATTCATCTCTCCTACAAACATAAACTATAAACTTATTAGATATTTACTTTTACTTTTGGAAGACCCCAATATTTTACTAGTGTCTTCCACTGCTCTGTGACCACCCGAGGAGGAGTGATGGCTAAGCGTTGTTCATCAGTGTCATATCTATCATACCATTTCTGCTTCAGTCGGCACTTCTGATCCCTCCATCTATTACCAACTACCTTTAGGCAATGGAATCTATATGCCTCAGGGGCATCTGTATTATCCTACAATTATAACATTTTAATTATCAATCAAACTGAATACACATACATTATCACAAATGTGAAGGTTTTGTAAGTATAGTTTACTGTGATATCCTTCCAAATGTTGTCTAATATATCATCAGGCATGTCATTCCATGTAGGATATGTTAGAGGAATTTTTTTTCCATTTCGTGCTATGATTCCAAGCTGTGAACTAAACAATGATGCATTAGCTTTAATTGGCTTCCACTCAGGATCAAACGTAACATGCAATATGTTTCCAGTCCCCCATTGAGGAATACTCCGAGCAGCACCACGTCCTTTAATAATATCTTCGGATTCCATTTGCCCTAGTAATAATTATGTATTTGAAAAACTTTTAATAAAGAGAAATATCATTAAATAAAATGAAGATAATGAGTATAAGCACATAAGAACCTGACTCATCTGGTTGGCCTGTCAAATGGTCATCCTCAGATGCAACAACATTTTGCTGAGATAGTTGTGTCTCTAGCTGGGCGCGTTGACGTCTCACAACATATGCTTGTTCACTTTGAACCGAGGAAGTAGGCTGTCTTGATGAAGTAACTTGAGGCTGGCTCGAACTCGAACTACGTTGTTGAGATGTTTGTGCCTGGTGCTTGCCCTTTTTACGTCTCAAAGGAGATGGGGGAAGCAATTCCTCCATTGACATACCTCTTGTTCTCTTAGGCGCCATAAACCACTGGAATAAAATAATTATATAAAAAAAATCCAACAAAGACAAGTGTAAAAAAATTTAAATTATAAACCTCAGCAAGACGTCAATTACATTAAACCACACTCCATATACTAAATTATTCTTATATATTAATGAAAAAGAAAATAAATTATAGCAAGGATAAATATATAATGGTCAATCAGATTCTTCCATCTCAAGAAGATTTTCAACAACATTTGTCTCCACAATAGTTCCTTCCACTCCTTGTCGCACCCAATTAACATCTTTATCGTGCAAATATATAGTTTCATCCAATTGTTGGCTTGCGTAAAGCTCGACTTGAGGTACCGCTGTAGGAGTACGAGATGAATCTTTCGAATACATATCAAATAGATCTCTGACAGTCATCGTAAGAACAACATGCCAATCGGAATCCAAAGGGTCTTGCACATAACAAACTTGTCTTGCTTGTTGAGCCAAAATGAAAGGCTCGTCCCCTATTCCATTCTCTTTGTACAACAAATGATTAAAGTTCACCAGTGTGAATTTAAACTCATCCTCTTTCACTCCCACAAGACTATCAACCCAATCACACTTGAACAAGACAAATTTCAAGGTATCGGTGTACCAAATTTCAACTATATCTGTCAACACTCCATGAAATGTCACATCACCTGATCGAGGATTTTGATCTCTCACACTAGCATAACTCATAGTATTTGCCTTCAAAACAACACCAGAATTTTGAGTGGTTCTATGATTTTCATACTTCTTTGTACGAAATCTAAAACCATTGACAAAATATCCCTTAAATTTTCGTGCAAACTCATCAGGACCATTAGCCAAACTAATGATTTCTTCATAAAACACCATATTAGAAGTTCTTCTCTGTGTCGTCACCTATATATACCAAAGAAACATAACTACAATTATCAATTAATCTACTCATGTATCAAGCTTTAGCCACAAATGACTTAGAGTACTTACATAGTTCTTAAACCAAAAAATTCTCAACTCCAGTGAGATATTGCGTAAATGTTCGATCTCGTATATCTATCCAACTCTTGTCCATTCTTTTCTATTTGTTATCCAAGAAGAAAGAAGAAATAATACCTACCAATCAATACTAGAAAACAATATTTGTAGAAACATAAAGTTGTGGGAGATAGGCAATCTGACCTTCTAAAATTTCAGCTTTTTATATCAATGTAAACCATAGCTATCGTTCTCACGAACAATTCTTTATTGAAATCTTTGAATCTGCAATAAGAAAGACAGATCGGGATGATTCTAATTGTGCAATTAAGTCCAATAACATGCAGCATATACTATTGCTTTACATCTACTTACTAAAAGGGCAAACAAGCTATGTGTTGAACAAACAAAAGGGCAAACACATCACCCACAGAGAGAGAGAGAGAGAGAGAGAGAGAGAGAGAGAGGCATGAATGGTGCTGATATGAAGGGATAGGTGTCCATATACTGAGGAAGGGGAAATGGACGTGTACCTTGTTTTGGTTAAGAGGGTACACAGTGCCTAGCTGTCTTAGCATGTGAAGGGAAATGGACGTGTACCTTGTTTTGGCTCAATGAGTCATTGGAAATTTGGAACCTCATACCAAAAAAGAAGAAGGAACATTGTACTTCAAGTCTGTACTATAAAAAAGAATGTTGACCATAATACAAGTTGTGCCCCAAAAAATTCACACTGTTATGCCCCATGTATGCCTGTGTACTATTTTCTTAAAATAAATGTAAAGAATGCTACTGCTTGTTATTATCTTAACTACTCACGCATATTTAACATACTTTTTATAAAGTGGTAGAATTATAAGGGCCATTTATTTGTCTTTTGCAATGATGTGAAGACATCATCATTTGTCTTTAATTAATGATGCTGTTTTTTGCAATGATAGGAAGACCTCTCATTTTTTCCTTATTCCCTTCATCCCAGATCCACTACCATCTCTCTGCACTTCATTTTTCCTTATTCCCTTAACTAGAGAATGGAAAGACTTGTGTTTGTGACAATGAAGACAAAAACTACTTAACGAGAGTGTCTCTTCCCTCTCATGCCAAAGTAGTGGACAGACAATATGCAAAATTATATATGTAAAACAAGAAAACTACTGTAAAAGTCCCAAAAGGTCCCCTTTCACACCACCATTATGTACAGAAAATGATTCTCTTCTCTTTTACATGATCTGAAATGCCTTTTTGCCTATTGGTGGTACGCTATTATCAATCTTTCAAATCCCTTTTCTTCTTTTTTTTTCCTTTCGGTTTTCCTTTTTCAAATTTAGAAGAATGAAGATGTTTGATGAGTCTGACCTCCACAGGACATTGGTACAATCAATTCAATACTACTTTAATGCCCAACTTGGAAACCATCAGCAGAGAGACACGTGTATAGCAATCTTTGTAAGAAGAAATCAGGTTTTGTGTTGTGTGTGCAGAAGTCTTTCTTTGGCTAGCCATCACGTGGGTTGGCATGTGGTCATTAATTGAAGGTGGCTGGCCTTCCCTTGATGGAAATTGCATAGGATTGCACTTTTGACTACCCCTGTTACAATCTATGCACTTTTCTTTCACGCCTTTTCATAAAAAATGGGGCATCAATGCCTTTTCTTAATTATGTTTCTATCTGTTTCTCTTCTTTTCTTTTCTTTTTTTCTTGCATGTCCCTATCCAATCTGACGCGTTTTCTAACTTCGCATTTCACAGTCAAAAATAGAAATTCCCTGCAACTCTTAATTTACAAAAACTATATGTTTCTACACTATTCAAATTCAGTCCACACTCTTTCACAACTGAGTGTTAAAACAGGCTGCATTAAAACAAAAAACAAAAAAACAACATTTTTTTTTTCTCTTCTTCTTCATCCTCTTCCTCATATTCTTCATCATCATCTCGCCATGCTTCATAATTCCACCAAAGGAACCTTTAGTTTTGCGCTCTGAATATCCTCTTCCGGATTTTCACGCACCGCTTCTTCGTCATCTCCGCGTTTTCGTTTACTCGGTTGCTCTGAGGCTGTTGGCTGTTTTTGCATTTCTTTAGCATAAAAAGTTACCAGTTTGGATAACCTTTCATTTTCTGCCTGCAAAAACTCGAGCTGGCGTCGGTGCTCCTCTTCCCTTTTTGCCCCATCCTTCTTCAATCTTATGTTGTCGTGCCGATATTCATCAACCAATTTTTGCTTTGCCGTCAACTGAGCTTTTAGATATTGCGTTTCATGAGTTTTTGCAATGATGCGATGCCCCACACTTGCGATACATGTAGCACTCTGCACGCCCATTGCCACGACATCACTCACTAGGCGGTTATCATTTCTCATTCCCAGTATGCGCATATCTCTAGGAGTCACCAGACTCCTCGCAACTCCAATGGCAACATCGTTGTCAAGGAGTAACGAGTCATTGACGGTCACGGGTCCTTGTGAGGACGCAAAATAGGGCGCCCAGACTGGTGCAAGTGATTGCACCCTTGTCTGTGTTGGCGGAGCTAAATTAAGATCCAGAGAAGAGTGGAAGGAATAAGACATTACCTCTACTTTGCTCCCTCTCTTTTCTTCTTTGCTTTCTCTCTTTCTTCTTGGCTTTCTCTCTTTCTTCTTTGCTCTCTCTCTTATAGTTTAGAGAAACCCTAGCAATTAAAGCTTCAACCGTCCCCAAACCATTTGTCGCGACGTGCACGAACACGTTCAAGAAGTCGTCTCTACTTTACTTTCCATGACGTTGTAATTGTCTCTACTTTCCATGACGCCGTAATTGTCTCTACTTTCCATGACGCTGTAATATCTGTGATTGTGCCATAAGCTTGCTAATCCTTGGGATCAAAATCAAAATCTTTAAGCTCTCTGGATATGATCAACACCAAATTCGGCAGCAACAACCCTGAGGGCGGTTTCGGTGACCAAGATCCTCGCCCGAAAAAGACGCATCGCCGCCACACTCAGCATCAGATCCAAGAAATGGAAGCGTGAGTAGTATTTAAGCATTAATGAGTTCATAATGGCCATAAGCTTGCTAATCCTTGGGATCAAAATCAAAATCTTTAAGCTCTCTGGATATGATCAACACCAAATTCGGCAGCAACAACCCTGAGGGCGGTTTCGGTGACCAAGATCCTCGCCCGAAAAAGACGCATCGCCGCCACACTCAGCATCAGATCCAAGAAATGGAAGCGTGAGTAGTATTTAAGCATTAATGAGTTCATAATGGTCCTTTTTTAAAATAAAAAAAATTAACCTTGAATTAATGTTCTGGTTTTTTTTCTTGGGATATTATTATTTAGTTTATTCAAGGAGTGTCCCTGCCCAAAACCCAAGCAGAGGAAGGAACTGAGCCGAGAATTAGGTTTGGAACCATTCCAAGTGAAATGGTGGTTTCAAAATAAGCGCAACCATATGAAGGTATATAATGTTTTGTTCATGACACGTTTTTAATTAAAATGGGTTTGGGAATATATACAACTTTGTTTTATTTATTTTTCCTTTTTGACAGACTCAGCTAGAGCTTCATGAGAACACACAACTTCGTAATGAAAATGAAAAGCTTCGTGCCGATAACATGAGGTACAGAGAAGCCCTAGGCAGTGCCTCTTGCCCCAATTGCGGTGGCCCGACAACTATCCGAGAGATGATAATCGAGATTGTAGTGGCAGCCATGGAAGAGCTAATCAGAATGGCTCAAATGGGTGAACCCTTGTGGATGACCAGCCTTGATGGCAACACCACTGTGGTCAATGAAGACGAGTACATCAGAACATTCCCTCGTGTTGCTCCAAAACCAAACAATCATTTCAAATGTGAAGCTTCGCGCGAGAGCGCTGTTGTTGTCATGAACCACAGCAACCTTGTTGAGATTCTCATGGATGTGGTAACCTTATTTACTTGTGTCATCAACATTGAACAAATTTGCTATATCTAGATCTACTAATTTGCTGAAATTTCAAATTCAATGTGATTGTTTTTTCGTAAATTTTTTCGTGTTTGCAATTTTGGGGTGTAACTTGCTTCAATGAAAAAAAATTTCGGGAGTTTGTGAACTCATGAGGAATCGAACTCTGGTCAGGAGTTTGGAGACAAGGCTCAAACACCACTGGACTGATGCATCTTCTTGTCGAATAACCATACAAATGT